TGAAAATGACAAATATGTAGTTAAAATTATCTTTGATTTCGACTAAATTTATAAATCAATTTGCAAATTACCAAGTCTTTCAACCGTTTTATTTTAACCTGTTTCTGGCAACAATATTCTGTGCAAGATATTTGTAAAATGAGGTCTTTCAGATGACATAAAGGAGGATAAGACAATTTATACAAAATGCAATTGCTATCTTCCATATAAATGGCTCAAGGATCCGCCATGGCTTCTCCATTGAGTTTCTCCTCAAAGCATTTGGTCAAAGGCTTCTTCACACTTCCTCTGGAGAAAGTTACATTCAAGAAAAAAATCCCAATTGGGATTCTGAAATTCTCTCAACAAAATGTTGTCTTGAGCAAGCAATTGAGCAGAGAAAAGGATGTTCTGTCAGCTCTTGAAGCCTTGGACGAGATGAAGAACAATGGAATTCTTGCAGAATCACAAGATGTAATCGAACTAATGAAAGCCATTGTGGATATGAAATTCCTGGAAGCTGGGGAAAGAATTCATGAATACATACAGAGAAACTCACTAGATTTTGACGTTATTGTGTTCAACAAGTTAATTGAGATGTACTTTAAACTAGGTAGGACGAGTAGTGCCTATCAAGTTTTCGATAAAATGCTGCTCAAAAATTTGGATACTTGGAACAAAATGATAACAGGTTTAGCGGAAAATGAAGAAGGAGAAGTAGCTCTTCAAGTTTTCTCCAGATTCATAAAAGACGGGATCAAACCAAATGATATTACGTTTCTTGGTGTTCTAAAGGCTTGTGAGTACTTGGGGGATTTGGGGAAAGGGCAAGAATATTTTGAATCAATGACTAGGATTTATGGAATTCGTCCATCTTTGGAGCACTATTTGAGTTTTCTTAATCTTCACAGAAAGTACAAGACAATATCAGAGTCAAGGGAATACTTTCTCTCTCATTTTTCCTATAAACCTAATGCTAAGGTTTGGGGGTTCCTAGAGAATCATTTAAGAACTGAAGCTAAAGATCAAATGAGTCGAAAACCAGGTATGAAGCTAAACAAGAACAAAATTATAGACGAAAACCCAGAATCGAACAGAAAAAGCGCACCTCCAGGTAAAGAAAAGGCATATGAGAAACTCAGGTTGTTGAGCAATGAGGCGAAGAAAGCTGGTTATGTACCTGACACAAGATATGTACTCCATGATCTTGATGAAGAAGCAAAAGAGAAAGCCTTGCTTTATCACAGTGAAAGACTAGCCATAGCTTATGGGCTTATCAGTACACCTGCAGGAACCACATTGAGGATTATAAAGAACCTAAGGATTTGTGGAGATTGTCATAATTTTGTAAAGATCTTGTCAAGCTTTGAGAAACGAGAATTCGTTGTTAGAGATAACAAGAGGTTTCATCATTTCAGGGATGGGAAGTGCTCCTGTGGAGATTTCTGGTAGAACGAGAATGTGTCCCATGATAGGTATTCAGCTGCCCACTTTCTTTTAGTCACATATCATGTCAAAAATGCATTTTCTTCATCAATGTTGGCATAAAAAACTGTAATTTTTTGTTTATCAATGGTAGAAAGATGTGTAGAAATATCAGAATTTCCATACAAAAGAACCCTCAGAAAAGGAATGAAACAAGTAGGTCAATTTAACAACAGATACTGAAAGCAGCAAAAGATTGGCTATTAGACAATGAGAGAATGGCTAAGCAAATATAACAGAAGAGAAAGGGTATGGACATAGGATATTCTCGTATGAAGCACCGAGTCTAACATGTATCAGAAACCGATACACGTTTTCGCTTGGATTGAAACTCACAATTCTGCATTTTCATTGGTGATATCTGAATGCTAAATTTCAAAGATAACTGTATGGGGGTGTTTGATAGACATTTTTATGTAAAAATGCATTTTAGATTAGTAAATTGATGTGAAATGTGTGGTTGAGAAATAAGAAAAAGTTTTTAATTTACGTGTAATATTATTTTAATAAAGAATGTGTGCTTGAAAAGAAGAGAGAGAAAAGTGCATTTTGAAAAAAATTACTAACAAACGGGGCCTATGTTTTCTTTTTGTAATTCTCAAAAGAACAAATGTAATCGTATACATTTGGACGCTACACATGAACTCTCCAGTTACGTGGAACTACCCTATACAAGGAAAAGAGAAAATAAACGAAAAATAAAAATATCTTTCCTACAAATGCAGCTCTTTGGATTAGAATTGTGATGGTGTTGATGGCTGATCCTCGTGCTTCTCTACGAGCATGCGCCTCAATGGTGGACCAAACATGCTCGATGGTACCTGCAATGAAGTTGAATGAAATAAAAATAAAAAAAAATAAAAATGATAAGCAATCATTTCCTCTAGTCAAGAATTGTGTTAAGAAACAGGCAATATTTGCAGTGGAGGGAGAAGTTGTTTGCTTGGCAAATAGGTGTAGTGAGAAAAAATCAAGAAAATAAAGATTCTCAAAGACCTTTTTATCTTTTCTTTTCTTTTTTTCAGAAATAATTGATGGAAGGAAAAATAAAACAGATAAGCAACACACAGAGTTACCGGCAATAAAACTAGGTCGTGCAAGAAACCAAGAAGCTCCAAAGATAGGTACATTTTAAAATAGTAAACCTGCAAAACATTGAATCAATCTAATACTTATAATAGATTGGCTTCTTTAATGAATGACTCTTAGTATGCAAGATCAGTTACCACAAAAACTTCTCCTTGAAAAGCAAAGAACAATCACTCTGACTAACTTTGTAAGGGTGATTCCACTGCCAGAGACAAAATGAAAGGAACAATTTGTCAGTTTCACTGTTTTGTATAAATAAGGAAAAAAACTTTCACTATCAACTGTAATGACAGATGAGGGATTTAGGTAAAAATGTTAACTTGAGAAACAAAAGTTTTTTTTAGAGATTATGCATTCAACTTTTAAACGAATGCTACATAACTATTAAAGTTAATGGATGACTATGCATCGATTTGAGATGTTAAGAGGTGAGAGTTTTAATTGTCTTCACTAATCCTTTTTTTTTTTTTTTTTTTTTTTTTGGGGGGGGGGGGGGGGGGGG